CGCATCCATCGGCGGAAGGCTGCGACTGATCAGCGCTGCAGGGCAGGTATGCAAATGGAGCAGGAGACAAAAGCGGGTCCTCTGAGCAGCAGCACTGCGCAGTAACAACAGCGTCACAGCGGCAGTGGCAGACACACTTGTTAGCACCAGCACCAGCACCAGCGGCGGCGGTGGTGCTATACCAGCAGCACTCTTTCGTACGATCAATCGTTAAAAAACCAAGTCGCCTTCGCTCCGTTACTGCCGCAGCGATCCTTGCCAAATTAGACTGCATGCAAATAGTAAGCACCATAGGATAAGAAGGGGTGGTCGTGTAGGCGTCCAAGCTTCGAAGTCCTGCGTTTCCTCGCTCAGGCTCATCTACCCGCACACCAGCCACCCAGCGACGTTATTATGCTTGCTTATAAGTTCCGAGAAGGTTCAGAAGCTCAAAATCGCCGAAACTTCTATTTCTGAGTGGCGGTAAAAAAATTGTCATATGTACGCGAATATCTAAGTCAATGTACAGAGGAGGTAAAAGCAAGAGCGACGAACGGACATGCTTTGTAAGATGCACATAAAGCAGGTCACCACGCATGGCAGTTGGCGACCCAACAAGATGTCGGCACATTAACAGACAGTACATACGTTTTTACAGGCGGCGTAGCAGGAAGCAAAAGCGCACCGCGCACGTGTTGACCAACGCGGCCCGAAGTGTAATGTGTGGGACAGGGGGGTCATATCTCCACCCGTGGCCGCTACCCGGCGAAACCCTGCCTTCTCCGGTATTTCGGGACACCTTCATCCAGTCACCATAGCCAACTTCTCAGTGGATCGCTCAGGTTCAGCACCCACCACCGGCATCCAACGGAATCTGCCGGATCAACGGCGGCTCAACTCCATTCTTGGTCAGCTCGCAGGTCTACTTCATCCCAGGTCACCACCGTCCATCGACTAGGGGCACTCTTACCTTCCACCATCGGAAGGAATTTTTAACCTTGACCGGTCTCGTAGTATGTATGTATGTGTGCTGCAGGTACCCCTCGGCCCTGCTCGCCACACACAACAATCTCCACAGCTCAATGTCGTCGCCACGTCACGCGCTTCCCGCATTCCCCGATCAACCCTATTAGCATCTTTGTTTCTTTACATTAACTAACTCTGCGCCATGTACACAGCGCCCGCCTGGATGCACAAGACCGCATGCATGTACGAATCCCATCGCGCGCATGTACGGAAGCACAGCACCGTAGATGGTCATCACAATACATGTATACAAATTAGGGTCGACGTAACTGCAAGCGCCAGGGGGGATTATGAAGCGATGAACGACCAACAATACGACTAAACTGCAACGACAGAATCACCACGCACGTACAACACACGCGGGCCGTCTTGGCCCACACACGCACCACGTGCACCACGGCGCTCGCGAGCACGGGGAGCATGAATACATGTACACGGGTGGAGCAACGGGACTGGCCAAACTGCCGAGGGGTTACAACAGCCGGTCACTTATCCGAGCGACAAGATCAAGAAATGCACGTAAATGCGCACAGCAGGTACTCGCACAAGCCCTGATGACGCCGTTGCCATGATCAGCGTCAGACAGACGACGTAACAAAGATACACACACGCGCGCACACACACACATATACACATATACACGCACACACGCGCGCACGCCTATACAGGCATGCACATACATACACACACATACACACATACACACAAACGAGCGCGCGCGCGTACGCACATCCAGGGAATGCAACAGCAACAGCAACAGCAGCAGCCAGCGCTACTATTATGAAAGCATTTACTAATTTTTGAAACTCGTCTTGAGGTTGAGAACCATTTCTGGGATTGGTTGAGTGACTCGTGAAATGTCAGGTTGATTGATTAGATCAAGCCAGCAGCCAACTGCTATTTGCATGATAAACATGCACACATACATACATATTCATCAGCCCGGATGGCCGACAGCGGAGGCGCCTGTTGAGCAGGTGGTTGCCCCTCGCGCAGGGCAATCACCTGCTAGCAGTTGTGAAGTCGGCGCGGTCAGTGAGAACAAGCATCGGCTACGTAATAAATGCGCATACATCTACAACATTATATGTCTTAGCGCCCGCTCTCAGCGGCGACATCATCTATATCCCCTGAATTGATGGATAACAGACAGATAGACGTATGGATAGGTACGAACAAAAAAATCTACAAGGGAAAAGCGAGGGGAGCGTGCATGTACGGACGCAAAGCCTATTTTGTTTTATGTTTGCCTTGTCTTGACTTTATGTGTGGCTTGGCATGACATCCATTTTTCAGCCATTCTCCACAAGTGGCGATAAGATAAGATGCGCTCCGAGTTAAAGTGCACCAAAGCACGCGGCAGCTGCCGTACGTAAGCTGCAGAGAACGACTCAGTAAACAAGCTACCAGCTAAAGTGGAGGAAATACACCAAAAGGAAAATGCGGGTCGGACGATGATCATACTCGGAGTGGATGAGTTTGGGAGGCCTCACTCTGTACGTGCACCGCGCAACCGGGACACGCACACACATCCCGTTCGTCACTGCGAAATACCCCAGCCACCATCGTAAGCGCCGCCGTCACCCCGTTCGCGTATGGGAGAAATACAGATGCACACATACGCTTCGCCTGTCGTCCAAAACCCCGCCGCGCCTTACTGAGTACACGTATACTGTATGCACTTTAGGCCCCGTGCTGTAAGCAGCAGCGATAGCGACTAACAGCGGCCGTCTGCCTGGACCTGCATCCAGCACCAGATCGACCGCCAGAACGACTCTCGGTGGCAGGTATGATATCTCCACTTTTGTCCCAACACATGCATGTCAAAATTGGTGTACGTGTCTGTGAGCCCACAATGCTTCGTTGCGTGTAACACAGGGTGGGTTAATCAGGAGCAGTGAGCAAAACACGCTGCGCGTACTTTGCGCTGGATCGCTTTGCCAAGGATGATGGGGAGACTGCCGTGCTCGCCATGGTAGGCTGCGCAGCGAAAAGTACTGCTAGGTATGTCGGGGTGTGGGGAAGGATGGAAGGTAGGAAGCAAGGCAAATGCAACCTCGTGTGGGTGCATGGTGTCCGTGATGGCATCCATCGTCATCGTGTACATGCACATCTCACAATTAAGGTTTCCCTTAACCTTAGGCTGGGGAAAGTGCAGCTGACGCCAATCTTCCCACACATATTCTCTAATCCAACTTCGTATCCAACAAAGATCAGTGAAGAAAATTAAAGGCAAGCAACGAAAATCTAGCCCTGATTTTGAAACAAACCGGCAGTAGGCACTGCCAAAAAAAACTCGAGGGCCCTTCGACCCTTCTCAGCACTCGCAGGTCCTCCACACTCCGCTGGTCGAATCGTACATACAGCGGGATCACAAAACAATACTACGCGCGTCAGTTTGTCCGTCAACAAATTATGGCACTGAAGACAAACAAGTATTCTATGTTTGTTCTTCCTTGCGTAACAAACATGCATTTCGAACGTGCATATGTGCAAGACCAGCAGATGGACACCAGATAGCAGCAAGTAGGGCCTTGTGTTGTTTCGCAAGCTGGCCGCCGGCGGCGCGCCGACCAAAGGCAATAAGTATGCATGCCTGCTGCTACGTGGTTGCAAACTGTGAGGTTAATCTATCCAACACAAAGAAAGGCAAAACTGCAGCAAAGTGCATGTGCGGGGAGAACAATGACAAAGCCGTGCCAAACCGGCTGTCTGTAAGGGTACAACTCCGACAGGTGTACCGAAAACGCAAGGAGAAGGCGCAAAACCCTCGTACGTATCCTCGTGCACGTGTACTCCCCTATACATATATGGCCGTCGCCTGGGAATTCTCGGCGGCCAGCTGCAGCCCTTTAGCATCCACACTTAAGCATGCACACTCCGACAGGCAGGCTGCCGTATGCATTTATGGCGGCAGCGGCGGCGGCGGCGGCGGCGACACACATTGCCAGCAACGTAACGAGCATCGCGATGCAAGGTTTGGCTCCCTACTGGTCCGCGCGCCATCGATCGGTTATCGACGCTACATATAACGCGATTCACAAGTCATAAAAGGCAAAGTATAGCTTCCGCGTCCTTCAGGAGAGACCGCGCGCCAGCCAGCACACAAGTGAACCGCGTAGATCCGATCTAGATGCGTCCATCACGTCAGTCCTAACGTACCTTGCTCAAAGCTATCGCACTTGAAAATACGGCCTGCCGTATGTATGTCATTCCTCGCCGCTTCGGAGCATACGAAGGGTGCCACCGTGCGTGCGAACGACAGACGTCCACATACATGCAGCAGAATCATCCTCATCTTTCATCCCAACTCCTCTTTCCAAAAGATCAACTCCAAAAATAAAAAAAAACTGATAGCTATTTGGTATTTTTATGTCAGGAAGCTTGCCATGCCTTTATTTTTGCTTAGCCCGCCGCTTCCCTTCTGAGTCCGCGCCCCGTGCCATCCCCGAACTGCCTCAAACTCCAGTTCTTCCTGATCCAGCTCCACACAAGCTGACGTATCCTTGTCAAGTGATCCACTCGTAGCATGCCTGGCAAACCCAGGGCTGCTCCTCGCCGCTAGCGGCATGGACATAGGTGCGTCTTGCTGTGCTCGTGCCATCCAAACGCACGTGTATCAGCATCACAGTGCATAACATCAGTGACAAACAAACAGTAACAAGTGCCATTAACTGTTACCAGCAGTTCCCATCAGTTCCCCGATGAAACCATCCGAGCACCTCGATGCACCTTTCGAAGGTTCATACAAAAGTGCCACAAATGGCTTATGGACGGGGCTGTCACAACGCTGTAGGTGTCAGTTCCCACCTATCACCAGTATCTTCCAGCAAGTGCAGCAGCAACCTGTCCCCAATCGCCTGTTCAATGATACTACATCTCCCTTCGCATTACTGCTGGTCAAGGAATACCTAAAGATCACAGGAATTTATACAAAAAACTGGATTCCTTTTGCCTTTCCGCCTTGTCGTACAGGAAGACGGCAGACTCAGGACTTACTGGATGGAGTGCCGTATTGGCAAAGGCAAGGCACGCAAGCCGCCGGTTAGTAGGCTCAGGCTTGGAAGCAGTCCTTCATCCTCCGCGTCGGGGGGGTTGCAGCCGTCACCAAAGCCCTCCGTGGGGCATCCGGCCTCCCAGTCTTGCTCGGGGGGAACCGCACCGCCGTGCAGCTGAAAATCATGGAAGGCGATCGTCTCTGCTGTGCCGGTGGTCCGTGGTACGGGCTCCTGATGCTGAAGCGATGGCGGCGGCGGTGGTGGTGGTGGTGGTGACGGCATCGGTGGCAGCTGCGGCTGCTGCTGCTGCGGCGGCGGCGGCGGAGGCGGCCGCGGCAGAAATGCCTGCGGCTGCGATGGATGCGACGTCGGCTGCGGGTGTGGTGCCTGCTCGTTGCCAAATTGAGGGAATGACGGCAAAACCAGCTGCGGAAGCGGTACCAGAGCCTGCGGCTCTGGCATCTGCGACATCGGCCGCTGCACTGGCTCTGGCGCAGTGGTAGGGGCTGGTGCCGGCGGAGACGGCATTGGCAGGATTGGCGCCGGTGCTGGAGCAATCGTTGCCAACGGCATTGTCATCGGCCCTGGTCCAGGCGGCCGCACCTGCTTCCAACCAGGCAAGTTCACCGGCACAGGGTGCAGAGCCTGGCCCTGCCCAGACGCAGGGGCTGGCATAGGCCGCTGCACCAGTCGCTGCATCGGCCATGGCCAAGGCGCCGACGACGGCATCTCATTCGGCGCCGACGACGGAGCGGGCACCTGCACATGGCCTGTGGCCTGTGGAGGCATGGTAGATCCCGGCGGCGGCACCTGCTGAACAAATCCCGGTACTGCGCCGACCGCAGGCGTGTTCATGTGCGATTGCATGGGCTTCCCCATCGTTGTCGGCGGCATCGATGACATCATCCAAGGCTCCAGGTGCCCCGGCCGAGTGTCAAAGCCACGGGCTTTGGGGCCAACGCATCCTGAGGACCTGTTGCCTCCAGAGACAGCCGGCCCAACACCGGCAGAGGCGCCCGGCGTGCAAGTTACCGTGGGGTCAGGTGCAACAGCCAACCCAGGCCAGGCCGATGTCGGCGCTGAAATAGTGGAATGTTGCCAGACCTGTCCCGATGCGTCACACCCACCATGGCAATTCGGGGTCGTGTAGCAGCCGGAGTGAGAGCAGGAGCAAGAGCTTGGGGGCCCCTTCACGGCAGCGGCACAGGCATTGGAGGTGGTGGTCGCCTTGTGATTTGTCTCAGCTGGGAAGACGGGTGACAACGGCGGACGAGGAAGCGCCGACCTCTCCCCAATCAGCATGCCAGGATTGGTCGTCGTCGGAGGCGGAAGCGGGTGAGGGCAGCAGCCGTCGAAGGCCGCAAATGCGGCACCGAAACCAGCAGCAGCGCCAACCGATGCCGGCAATGGCAATGGCGCCATTGCTTTAGTGCAGTAGCCAGTTGATGACGAGATGTTTGTCTCGCCGCATCTTCCGCTTGCGAGGCTCAAAGATCGCCCCAGCTGAACTCTGCCAGCCACCGCTGGAGTCCCATACAAGGCAGCGACCGGCAAGGAGTTCTGTCGAAAGACAACGGCCTCCCGCAGCTGCACGTCGCTACAGCCAACGTTCATGCCGCTGGCTCGGGAGCTGGTGGTAGCAGCTCTGCAGCCCAAATCCATAGCAGCCGCAGGAGCTGGGCAGTCGGCAGTTGCTGGAGGAGCGAAGATGGCAGCGGCGGGCGGGCAAACTGACACGGACTCACAGCCTGGGGCCGGCTGGCAAATCACTGCGTGCTGGCAAGCGGCAGCGGGTAAAGCAGTAGTGAGACCATGTGGAGCAGGAGATGCAGCCTCGCATGCGCCTACAGACGTTGGAAACACCGGCGAGAGCGCTGAAGTAGACCGTCGCGGACTGAGCGCGTAGCAGCCGCCGGCTTCGTAATTAGAAACTTCCTGACTCAGAGCAGCCGCGGCATTGGCGATGATAATAGTTGATCCAGAGGCAAACTGAGAGGTCGTAGTGGTAGTGGTTCCGGCAGGTGGTGACGGTGCAACATCATCTTCGAAAGCTGGGCTTACGAAGGTACTGCAACTGTACCGGCCGCGCTTCACCCAGACGCCCAAAGGCTCCAGAACGTAATACCGTTTACGAAATTTGCCGACTGGCTGTGCTTCCGATACCGCGGGGGCGATGACATGATGCGGTAGACGGGCTTGGCCGTTGGGGCGTTCCTGGGGCAATGCAAAAAAGGGAGGGTAACGTACGTTCTTAATTGATGGCTTGAATTGTCCTTGTGCAAGAGTGACTCACGTGCTAGGCAGAGGAAAAGGAAAAGGTATCGAACACCTTTGCGTTTCCAGTGCGGAGGCCGCCGCAAGATACACAGGATGCTATTTTAACCTATCAGCTACGCATCCGTTTAAATTGACGATACGATGCGTCCACAGGCCCGAAGCCCACTACGCAAGTACGTCCCCTACCTGTTCGAGGTCGAATGCGTCGCCGGACCAAGTGAAGACCTCTAAGCTGGAATCCTTTTTGACCATGCTTATATGCCAAGGAACCTTGGAGAGGACGCTGTTGCCCAAACTCTCTAGCTTGTTTCCGTTGGACAAATATCCTGCGCCTGTAATAAGGAGCAATATGCTTCGTAAGTAGTATATACTTACGTCAACAAGGAGCAAATTACAAAAGTTTACAACTCACCACGTTGCGATGTCCTAGTTCGCACTCCTTTAGAAAAAGACAACAGCAGGAAACCTCATCGTGCTGCCATAAAATCTGCTTTCTATATATTTTATAATCGATGATTTCTTTAAATTTGCAAGCATTAAAGCAATTTATTCTGCCCGCGCAGTGTACGGCCTGAACTTATGCTCAAACGGGCACACTGAGCTCATCTATTTAAATGAATACGTGCAACATCCACACTAAGTCAGTTTTATAAGCTTTGCATTTGCAAATTTCAGATTTTCTTATAAAATACGATCGTAAACTATTCTAGACCGTAGGAGCCCGATATTGTCCCTATTTTCCAATTCGCGGCGTATTAAATCTGATTATTCCTAAACTGGTAAAACAATATTATGTACTATTGTACGTGTCCAAGGAATTGGAAACGCCTACAAGTCACGCGACCCTTGTCTAGCATACCACTCTATGAGGGATGGCAACACGTACAGCAATCCTGGAATAGAATAAAAAATATTTATTTTTCGCTTGATCATGGATTTCATATGACGTTGGAGTTTCAGATGTCCCTGACAGCTTTGACACGGTGACCTCTACGTTTAAATAGGAACCCCAAGGCAACCTCGAGCCTCACGAAGTCATCGCCCATGGGGCTTAATACAATGAAAAGGAGGAACGAATCGGTCCATAATGGAAATAATTGTCGCAGGCACAGGGGGGCCACGACGTGCATACAAGCGGCACTGATGCACTAAACACGGCTTTTCACGACGGGGCACAGGCTCGTCGTCGGCCGTCAAGTTTATTCTACTGCACTACTGTGCGGATGGACTATATTTTATATATCGACTCAAAGTCGATGCTGTCGAAACTGATTGCACTTCTAGGAAGCCGCTAGCCGCTACACTTCAAGCCATGAAAGACCAGGATTTTCCTTCCAATAACTTCGGGAAGTCGTCGAACATCTGATGACCATATGTGCTCCTCTGTGTGCGACACGGCAGCAGCGGGACATCGGTTTTCTTGCGGGCCAGGTTGCACGGGTGTGGTTCAATTCAAAGCAGGACATTTATCTCACTAGCAGTGCCCACTAACAGATCGAAGGAGCCCATGCGAGGCAGTCGCGAGTCAGTCTCCCTGGATGAGGCCGTACGATATGGACGGCATTGAGCGAGTGCGGGACGTTGTCCTGGACTTAGGGTTTTTCAACCTCTTCCCGGTTTGTCCTTCCCAGCTTGAAGAGGCCCCTTTTGTGCTTTGATACTTGTGTGGTCTGTAATTTGTGAGACTCTCGGTGCCGGGTTCGGATCTAAGCATACGTCTGTAGCCAAGTCCATGCAAGAGTCCCAATGGTAATAGCAACGATAAGCAAACGTCAGTCGGAGCCTGGTGTGTGTTGGCTGTATATTCCTGTGGAACCTCTCCTTTTTATGGTACGGTATGTGTACTTCACCATCGCCACCGCCAAAGTATGCAACAGGAAGCCATCAGCAGTCAATCTGGCCGCCTCGCCCACATAGTTGTAGTTGTAGTTGTAGTTGTAGTTGTAGTTGTAGTTGTAGTTGTAGTTGTAGTTGTAGTTGTAGTTGTAGTTGTAGTTGTAGTTGTAGTTGTAGTTGTAGTTGTAGTTGTAGTTGTAGTTGTAGTTGTAGTTGTAGTTGTAGTTGTAGTTGTAGTTGTAGTTGTAGTTGTAGTTGTAGTTGTAGTTGTCGTTGTCGTTGTAGTTGTAGTTGTAGTTGTAGTTGTAGTTGTAGTTGTAGTTGTAGTAGTACTACTACTACTACTAGTAGCAGTACCAGCAGTAGGAGTCGTAGCAGCAGTAGTAGTAATAGTAGTAGCAGTAGTGATAGTAATAGTAGTAGTAACAGCAGTAGTAGTAATAATAGTAGCAGTAGTGGTGGTAGTAGTAGTAGTAGCAGTAGCGGTAATAGTAGTAGGAGCAGTAATAGTAGTAGCAGTAGCAGTAGCAGTAGCAGTAGTAGTAGTAGTAGTAGGAGTAGTAGGAGGAGTAGGAGTAGTAGGAGGAGTAGTAGGAGTAGGAGTAGGAGTAGGAGTAGGAGGAGGAGGAGGAGGAGGAGGAGGAGGAGGAGGAATCACAGTGAGCCCCTGTAGTACCCTGGGTATATCACGGGATTCTGAGATCCACCGATCGGTTCTTTTCTGAGAAAGGCGTGACACAACAGTCCCAGAACCCAAGGAAAAACTCCAAGGTAGGGCCATGGGCCACAACGGAGGCCAGCCCGCGCCGTCCGGGCCTTCAACAGGCGAAGACTTTAGTAGCCCCTGCTGGACATTTTCGTCTCCTGCCTCCAACGGGCCAAATCACATTGGCCAAATAATTGTGGCCAAATCACTTTGGCCAAATCATTTGGCTTTATCACATTTTCACACAGGAAGCTAAAAAGGTTGTGAGGCAGCAGGTGGCAGGACGTGGCAAAAATGAGGTGCGGGTTCTGTTCACACATGCATAGTTCACATGGGCCAATTTTCGGACTCATTTGAGATACTCAAACTTTTTTAGGGAAACAAATTTTTGTATAAAACTTTTTTCCTCAAACTTACGAGTGAATCAACGCTCCTGGAGCGAGGTACGTGGCGGTTTACGATTGAGCTTGTGCGAGTCAACTGGCAGTACTGGAACAACTGTTGGATGTTATATAATCGAATGTTATTGTATTCGCCAGATATTAAGCTCATGCCGGTTATTAATCGGCTGCTCCTAGCTTACCTAATATCTGGTAGGATGCGTTCACACCTCCTTCTGGCGGCACTATTTGCACGAGGCGCCTTCACCCATCGTTGGGTGTGGGTGATTCCGATGCGGTCGGCTCTCCCCCTGACAAGAGTAAAACCCGACCGCCGGCTCACAAGCAACCCCTGCGTGCAGTCAAGGCTTGGAGAAGTCCCTGCATGTGACATGCTGTGTCGGGAAGGTTCCGGACCGGTTGACGGCCTTTACTTAGGGGACCCCCGGTCCGGCCGTGTCCGGCCAAATGACTTCCCCCAAGCAAACTTTGCGAGCTTTATCCCCAAAAGCAGGATCCTCTGCTCGCCCAAGGCGGTGTTACACGTCATCGCCACCACCACCGCAGCCGCCGCAGTCGGCCAGCCAGCCATTGCCTGACAATTACAATTGACGACAGATGCAACATAACGTTCACTAAGCCCTAACCGTGAATGCATATGCGAACACACTCTTATATGTGGGGATGCAGCAGATGCGCAATGGACTGAGCTTTCATGTCTAATCGCTGTGCTGTATGCCGTACATACACACACACGAAAACACACACACTGTCTCTCTTAGACCTGCCCAACCAATTTTCCTTTCCAAAAAGCACATTCATCCGTTCCCCCCGTCGGGTCGTGAAAGGCACCATGTCGTGGATGCCTAGTAGGGTGCGCTCGCCGCAACAAAGGAGGGAGGTCACCAACTACCATTCTGTGCTGCGCCCTGATGCCGCATTCCGCGCGAGAGAGCAACCACCGGTGCGTTTCGGTAATGCCGCTCAGGAAGACGCTTTGGGGGATGAACGCAGTAACATTAATTAGTAACTCTAATCACCTCCTGCAACATTCATTTATTTATTTGCAACATATATAGGGTTTGGTACTACTGGTAAGGCGCGACCATTGCCCCCGGGAGATCCCGGGATCGATACCCATTCCGATGGTGGAAGGCATAGCCCCCCTAGTTGATGTACGGTGGTGACCTGGGATAAAGTTAACCTGCGAGCCGACCAGGAACGGAGTTGGACCGCTGTCGACCCGGCAGATTCCGTTGGATGCTGGTGGAGGGTGCGGAACCTGAGCGATCCACTGAGAAGTTGACTAGGGTGACTGGATGAGGGTGCCCCGACATACCGGGGAAGGCAGGGTTTCGCAGGGTAGCTGCCACGGGTGGAGATATACCCCCCTGTTTCACACACCATTTGCGATGCATGCATAGGATACCGATGTGTCCACTGACGTACAAATGTCCAATCAAACAAATGCCGTACATAAAGAAGTACAGCGGGGCCATAACAGATAGCATATAAATTCACTAACTCCCTGGACTCCTTACCCCCCTGTTAAGCAGCCGCCAGCAGGTTATCCGACCACCAGACCTGATCAGGACATAGAGTCAAATGTCAGGTATTCTAAGTACATTTTGTGGTTCGCGCAGCGTGATGTCCGTTGTCTTCTCCCGTACCGCGGGCCGGACGGATATATTGCGAGCTGCTAGCTGCTTTGCAGTATTACTATTGTTAGTCGGCGACAGACAATGACGAAACCGAATAGCTACATCCCCAGTAGCCAAGGAGGCGAGATATTAAAACCACAACCCACACAAGAAATGAGCCAAACTAAACCACTAAGGTGAAATAACCTTGTTAGCTCATTTCTTCAATGCCGCAAGTGATTCTTTCGAATGCCGATAAAATAAAGCTCGGTTGGCTTCCCTTACAAGTTACAAGTTACAAGAAGCGAAACTGTCAGCTAACCCCAAACAGATTTAAGCCCTTTGAAAACTCCGCCACATCATCCGCTGTGTACATCCCTCCACAACACTTCCGACCTGCCGACCGTGCAAACGAAAGGCGTGAAGCAAAACCGGCAACAGCCACTAACAAGGGTCCAACGTAACCAAGATTTTACGTTCGCGACCCTGATGAGGACGATGAATGATGATGATGATGATGATGATGATGATGATGATGATGATATTCCACATATCGAGACGTCGAACACCGTTGATTCCCACCGAATATGTCCTACTGCAGTTGGCCAGCAGGTACCTTGTTGGCGCTGGGGGGTTCTGGAAACGTGTGATGGTATGGTGGCCACGTCTCTCGTGTGCACCATTAATGGG